TTTGAATTTGAAAAAAACAATCGTTTGTCCCCTCCCCCCACTCGCTTAATCAAATACTCCTTGACAAAAATAGTGAGGATTTTGATCACCAGAGTCTTTACCCCTGCGCTCATTTAAATTTTCATACCTCGGATCGAGGATCTCACCACATCTCCGCCCTCTCCACTCATTTATATTTTACATGCCTTAAATCCAGAACCTTTGGGCCCTTGAACTCATTCAGACTTCAGATCTCGATTCCAGGGCTTCCTTGAAATTTAGGAGGTTTTTGGATTCGAGGCATTTAAAGTCCGGATTCAATGAAATATGACAATCCCTGCACATCTGTTGCTATGTTATTGTTGGTTGGTTGAGTGTTGCGTCGTCGCAATCCACACTACATTTGTCAGGAGAAGCATCTGCTAGGAACAGTTGCACACATTAGTATAATTAATTACAGCCAATTATGTGAAAAGCTGCCATATCGTTTAATCATCTTTTCGGACAGCTTTCAGAAAAGTTTGGCTATTCTGGCATGTGTCCACCAACAGTGCCCGGGCAGCTTTCGATACTGCAAAGCACAGATATGGCCACTTGGGATTTCGTCAGCATCGCCTCCACCATCATTGCAAAGCTTAAGATCTCACTACAAGATGCTGTAGGATGCCATGGTGGTACGTTTTTGGATCTCCACAATACTGCGTTTCTCGAGTGCCTCGACGATGCGTTTCGGGATCATCACGGTGGCACTTTTTATGAGTCGCCAAAATGGTACGCTTTTGGTTTGCCGCGATAATACCTTTCTGAATTCCATTCGTGAAATGGCCAGTGTGGAAAAACGGGAAGGCCCAACGAGCCCATTATATGCACTTTTTTTGCTCGCCAGTTTTTTTTTTGCCATGGATGCATTCTAGTTTGGAGGTTTTTTTTGCTAGTTTGGAGGTAATAGCCGACCCAGTAATGCATTAACGACACGATTTATCTATAAAGGTGAAAGGCAGCAGTGGTTCGAAGCATATTGAGTGAAAATAGTAACGTATAAATAGCTGCTTTACTGCGTTAGCAAGAACTATCTGCAGGCGAAAATATGAAAAAAAATTTTTTAAGTTCAAATAAAAATTACCATCCATAAATTTTGAGGACCAAACGATGAGTTAGAAGCAAATTCAAGTATTCAGGTAAATTGGTACTTAATTACTCGATTAACTCATCTGATTTCCAAAATCTGTGCAATTACCCACACCGACAGATCCGCGCGAACATATGTTATGAGCAGTATTACCCGCGAGTATGCACTACAGGTCAGAGCGGATTATTGGATGGATCCACGCAGTGCGGTAACTGAACACTGGAAAAGAGGCAGTGAAGGAAGGAATTACGTGAATGACCGGACACCAAAATAGAGAATAATGAAGTCGCAAATTGCACCATTGGCGAGAAGGAATGCGATGATGAAACAGCAGCTAATTAAGGGACAAAAGTAGGTGATATTTCTGGTATTTCCGCAGTTCCCTAAAGTTTTTAGCCCCAAATAGAAATACTGATAGTTTTTGTAAAAAAATTCTCGTCACTTACGTCAGTCAATTTATTCAGCTGAAACC